GCTCCATTAGAGCCCACGAAGAAGGCAATTCAACCTTTGTTTTGTTCTCATCTGTGAATAGTTCCACTATGGACCTTTTCATTGACTCTAGTATTTCCTTGGTATTATCATTAAGTGTCTTCAGACCTACTGCATATTCCTGATCATTCAGAGACTCACCTAACCAATCTCTGTCCTCCTCTGGTACAGCTTTCCAAAACTCCCCAAAATACCTCTCTATTTCCTGAAGAGGGAAACAAAGTAAGCATGAAGATAATCTTATACATAATTGTGTGCTATGATTTTAAAACTGTAATGATATATTATGTGTCGATGTTTGCAAAATCTGGAATTACAGCTATTTCAGACGAAAGGTAGTTTTTCTGAAAAAGTACTACATATTTTCAGTTTTCTGTTTTTTCCAAATTCTTGTTTTTAAAAAAACTGTCGTATGTTTTTCGATGCTAATTCAGTTATCTTAAGGACAAGTCCGTTTTTGACATCGTAAATGTACTAGGGTTGATCCAAAAGTAATGTCACAGTGTCTATACCATTTATATTTGGCGTCATATTATCAAATGCAATATACCACAAGATGCATAAATATCATTTAATTATCATTGATTTTATTTAATAATGATTATTTGCCTTTATTTTAAAGAAGTTTAAAAAACAGCGCACAGGGGGCGTCACCAAGGAACGTCAAGTTTAAAAGTGTATTTTTCTCTAAATGAAGACAAACACATTACCGTTAAAAAGATTCTTAAACAAGAGGCCCATGGGTGTAATAGGTCACCTGAGAATCATGCTACAACTTTCAAATGTTATAATCAGGTTCATGTTTTAAGATAGATGCTACAACATTCACAATTTTGAAAGAGGCTGGCACCATTGCTTATCATAAACACGAACTTAGCAATTGCTTAGTTTACTTACTTAACCTCCTAAATATCCATAGGCAGGGTAGGGGAACAAAAAATGCATATCAACTAATCAGTAATATTCAGCAATAATCAGAAGTGCCCCCATCACACATGAACCCCTGACCCTAGGTTCGCACATTGCATAAGAATTGTGAACGATAGTATAGTTCTCCCGCCTTCCTCCAAGTCAATTTTCAAAAGTTAACATATTCGATTGGTTTTAAATATTTTTTATAGATAATTATATGGATTTTCATAAAACATAACTTTTTTGGGAAAACAAAGAGAGTAACTCTATAATTTTAATAAAACTTTTAATAAAACTTTTTTTCACTATAGAAATCAACAGAAAACGGAAAATACTTTTAAATACCCCCCCCCCCCGCACTAAGGTGTTTGGCTCTAAATCCACACTCCTTCAAATTGGGCTTCACCAAGGAAAAAAGTCAATATAATTCAATAATTTACATGATACATGTAATCACCAAATTGAGCACAATATGCTCAGGTGACCATGTGACCCATGAGCCTCTTATAGATAATTCATATTCTTAATTCATTACCAGTCTGAAATTAAACAACAGAATTTAATTAATGATGTAAATTATGTTTGATAAAGGGGGATATAAGTTTTTGGTCCATAATTGGAACGTTTACTATCTATTTTCTCATATAGATCAACAACAAATAATATTATTCAAATTAGTGTAAAGCGTTGCCATATGGGTCATCAGGGTTTCACAAAAACACTGTCGTATGTTTTTCGATGCTAATTCAGTTATCTTAAGGACAAGTCCGTTTTTGACATCGTAAATGTACTAGGGTTGATCCAAAAGTAATGTCACAGTGTCTATACCATTTATATTTGGCGTCATATTATCAAATGCAATATACCACAAGATGCATAAATATCATTTAATTATCATTGATTTTATTTAATAATGATTATTTGCCTTTATTTTAAAGAAGTTTAAAAAACAGCGCACAGGGGGCGTCACCAAGGAACGTCAAGTTTAAAAGTGTATTTTTCTCTAAATGAAGACAAACACATTACCGTTAAAAAGATTCTTAAACAAGAGGCCCATGGGTGTAATAGGTCACCTGAGAATCATGCTACAACTTTCAAATGTTATAATCAGGTTCATGTTTTAAGATAGATGCTACAACATTCACAATTTTGAAAGAGGCTGGCACCATTGCTTATCATAAACACGAACTTAGCAATTGCTTAGTTTACTTACTTAACCTCCTAAATATCCATAGGCAGGGTAGGGGAACAAAAAATGCATATCAACTAATCAGTAATATTCAGCAATAATCAGAAGTGCCCCCATCACACATGAACCCCTGACCCTAGGTTCGCACATTGCATAAGAATTGTGAACGATAGTATAGTTCTCCCGCCTTCCTCCAAGTCAATTTTCAAAAGTTAACATATTCGATTGGTTTTAAATATTTTTTATAGATAATTATATGGATTTTCATAAAACATAACTTTTTTGGGAAAACAAAGAGAGTAACTCTATAATTTTAATAAAACTTTTAATAAAACTTTTTTTCACTATAGAAATCAACAGAAAACGGAAAATACTTTTAAATACCCCCCCCCCCCCCCCGCACTAAGGTGTTTGGCTCTAAATCCACACTCCTTCAAATTGGGCTTCACCAAGGAAAAAAGTCAATATAATTCAATAATTTACATGATACATGTAATCACCAAATTGAGCACAATATGCTCAGGTGACCATGTGACCCATGAGCCTCTTATAGATAATTCATATTCTTAATTCATTACCAGTCTGAAATTAAACAACAGAATTTAATTAATGATGTAAATTATGTTTGATAAAGGGGGATATAAGTTTTTGGTTCATAATTGGAACGTTTACTATCTATTTTCTCATATAGATCAACAACAAATAATATTATTCAAATTAGTGTAAAGCGTTGCCATATGGGTCATCAGTGTTTCACAAAAACATCTTGTTCCTTATATTGAGAACAAATATAGCTTTCATACTTCAAATGTGCATCACCTGTGACAATATATTTTCAAGCATGCCATGATTTGTGACCCATCGACCTTGACCTTCACGATTGACCTTATTTTTAAAAAAAAAAAATCAATTTCAGTGATTATTTCTAAATGACATATGACAGGGCGTTCATATTTGAGAAATTGTGTCATAAAAAATGACATCCCACTCACAAAGACACCGAAAGCGAGGGGCCACAATTCTTTGAATTTGCTTATTTATTTTAATTAGGAACTAGAACTGTCCAAACGGGACAAAATACCCCCCGCTGGTTTTTTCAGAGGTAATGGACCGGACATGAATTATGAAATTTTTCTTCCAGTGACCTTGAACTTCCACAAATTACCTTGGGTCAAGGTCATGACACACCCTTGGGTTATGGGCAATCTTTGTGTGAAATGAAAACCTACCAAGTTTATCCATAAGAAAGATATGGACCGGACAAGAATTATGAAATTTTTCTTCCAGTGACTTTGAACTTCCCCAAATGACCTTGGGTCAGGGTTATGACACACCCTTAGGTCATGGGCAATCTTTATGTGGAGTAGTTGATTCTAATGTCCTTCTGTAAGAAAGATATAGACCGGACACGTTTGCACAGACAGACGGACAGACGGACAAGGTGATTCCTATATACCCCCCCCAAAAAAAAAAAATCGTTTGCGAGGGGTATAAAAATATTCTCAGACATTGGAGTTTTCGTGAACAGAAAATCGTTTGTTTACTACGCTGGGAAAATACATGTAAATAATCTTAATACATTTCGCTTCAACGGTTGATACAAATAACCTTGTCAGCAAATAATACAATTTTCGTTGAGTCAAATGCTGACTGACGTCTTTCATACTTATACTTATTGTTAGTCATTATTTTTACATTGAATTAACGATGAGTTTTCCCTTCATTTCTCCATCGAGACAAAGAAGCACATGGGTGGTGTGACCGGTCGGCAGGAGATGATCACTCCTCCATGGCACCTGGTCCCACCTATGATGTTCTGATGGTCTTTGTTTGTTCTGCTCCTATTTTTTATTATTTATGGTCTTTTGAAACTTTTCGAAATCTCCATTTCATAAGTATGCGGTTTATTTCTGCATAGTTGCCAACTCACCCGATTTCGTCGGGTCACACCCGATTTTTCCACCCTTAACCCGATTATTTTTTATGACCCGGCGGGTCATGCTTTTCATCCGATTTTTTGCCAAACAACCGGAAAATATCCCGATTTCCGGATTTGGTTCGTTAATTAGGTTGCACTCTTAACTTCCAGTTACAACCCAAGCTTGGATCTACGTAAACAATGCCGATGGCTATGCTCAGTGGGCCGTTTACCAGTTAATTATGAGAGCAGGTGCAAACAATAAACTGGGAGTTGTTTTGACAAATGAAAGTTTGAAGCTTCCGATAGAAGTAGATCGTTATCAGGGTCAGCACGAACAAATTGAACCAAGAAAAAGAGAAGCAATATTAATTTTATGTACATTTCAATTGAGGAATCTTGGAAAACAACTTTCATACTATAAAATACAGTGATCAAAGATATTGTAGACCTACTTGTACGTCTAAAACATATGGCACTTGTTATTAAATTAAACAAGAGATATAAAAAATAATTTCAAAACCAAAACTTAAATACTTCCAAATTTAGCACAAATTAAACTGAAAGGCTTTCTTTAAAATTAAAAAAAATGCACACTTAATTCAGGTCAGTACTGAATAATGAAACCTTCATTGCTCTTTTAAACATCTAAATTTAATCAGCAATTGAACATATATTAAATTTTTGTCTTTGTAAGTTAAAGCTTTTTTTAAATAAAAGAATTCTCAATACACAAATACTTATATTTATATAATTTAATGATGGTAAATTTGTCATGAATGTCGTTATGCGCTATGACCAGATATTTTACTTCCCAAATCTGGTCATGACCAGATTTTTACATGTCAGAGGTTGGCAAGTATGTTTCTGTAGATATTCAAATGCAAAGAATACTTTCACCAATTACAGTAATAAACTGTAATTTTCCGTTTATTGAGGAGCAGATAACTCTTACTCCATAAAGATGTTGCTTGAAACAGTTTATTTGTGAGCAGTATTTAAAAGACCATATCTTTCTTTCCCCATCACCATTGTACAACTTTAAATACAGATGGTAAATTATTTTCGAAAACTAGCAGGAAATAGTGGATATGAATGGTGGCGTACAAAAATATCTTCTATTCTTCTTCTCAAAATTATTATAAAACTACTGATTTACTTATAATTTTTACACAATCAAAGACTAGAAGATTTTTTTTTTCAAATGTTAATTTATAATAAGGAACTAAAGTTTAGATATATCAAATAAATATGCATTTCCAAGCAATCTACAATTACGTTAGCTTTTAAAGGCTTAAACTCTAAGTACAGATATGAGCCAAAAATCCATAGGAAGTGGTTTTACTCTCTTACTAAACGGTCAAATCTTTTAATTTTGCATCATTTTGTATCTCTACATGACTGCTTTACCATATGTAAAAAATAAGAAAAATTTTAAGATAGGGCGCATATAAAAATAATTTTAATATCCTACAAATAAAGAAAAACAGAGAAAATTCGAATTAGCCAAAATCTACTTTTGTTAAACTATTTGTGTCAATTTGGTTATATCAACTTAAAGATCCTTTATGGTACCTAATATCTTTCTATGCAAAAAGAAAAACATTTCTTCTTTTGAAATAGAAGACCTTATCTCATGACTGGATGCAGTTTTTTTTTTTTAATTCTTAATGATCAGGGAAAAGTAAATGACCTCGACCTGACCATGACTGTACTATAAAACAGTCGAATCTTATGTTACTAATACCATCACTTAGTAATATAGTCTTCTCGATTCTATGAAAATTTCATTAATTTTTAAATACAAGAAATAGTTTTGTGTGAGAAGAATCCTACCTTAGAAACTATTTTCTACTTTAAATACCTACAATTGGAAGCCCCCCTTTTTTAAAAATATTATATGAAATATAAACAAATTGATTCATATTACTTCTATTCATATATTCCTTAGATACAGTCGCCTATCTAGTTAGAGCATCTGCTCTTGATTCGGGGAAGTAAGGAGTTAATCCTTATCTCACGGGTTCGAATCCCAGTGTGGGACTTAAAGGGTTCGAATCCCAGTGTGGGACTTAAAGGGTTCGAATCCCACTGTTGGACTTAAAGGGACATGGATACAGTTTCAACTAAATTTTTTAATCAATTTCAATGCTTACAATTCCTAAATAATGCATCATCTAATGATCAGCAAGAATTTGAACATCATTTATTGATTAACAAACGTGATACAGAACTAAAAGTTCTTCAGAATGTAAACAAGGTTCGTGCCTCGTTTTTGTTTACATGTAGAAAATATATTTATAACAAAATGAAATTCAGCAAATCACTAGAAACTTTCTAATAGTATTTAGAATTAACTTCATAACTGAGCTTATTTGCTTTAAGGATAAATAACACAAACAAACTTTTTTCAGAAATCAGCATTGTTTCTCATAGATTTACATTTAAATTGACAACCAGAATAATGTTTACCAAGTAGAGTGGAAGAATTTTGTAAGATTTTGTCATAAAATTAAAAAATTGTGCAAAATTTTGTATGGAATTATATAGGAGGCAAAATAAAATCTTAAATAAAAGCACCAAGGAAAACCTACGATTTCTTTATATTTCAGGGATTTATTATTTATATCAATACAAATAAAAATCAGTCAAAAAATATATATCAACCCGCGCATCCATTTTTTGTTTGTGGTAAGTACCCTTAAACGAACATATATTAGTAAATTAATCTATGTAAACGAAACATGACACGAACTCTGTTTACATAACCAAGGTTTGGAGCTCTAAATCTGTCTTGTATCTCAACAACTGAATTCTAAATTTTTTATGATCATTAGAAAGACCTTAGTTAAATATTTTAGCTGAACTGTGTCTATGCCCCTTTAAAGACTGTTCATAACGAAAAAGATATCCTTATCCTTCACTGCTCAACATGCCTACCTATTCATTTATAGATATAAATAATGCAATTACTGAATATGTCAAAATTTGTCTAGTGTCTATTCACTTAAAGTATAGTCAATAAATATATGATGTCCTGTGATTTAAGGAAAATAATCGATGGATATGTATGGACAGGTACAGTATACTGGCATTGTTATTCCCGTTAGTGCCGAAAAAAAATCGTCTAATAGGTAGAAAAAAATATTCAATATATTGATTTGATTGCTGATTTACATACAGATGGATCAATAAAGTGACCCTGCCCTTAGTCACCGTTGTTACAGTGAGCTTGTCAGCATTTTAAGCCCCAAGGTGCTCAGTAGAGAGCCAAAGAGGTATTTTATTACATAGGCGTCGGAAGCAAACTGAATTTGTGTATATGTGTGTGGGGGGGGGGGAGCTAAACCAGAAAAATAAGGTAAACTAAAATTTTTAATGTCTATCTAACAATGTATTATGTATATATTTGCAAAAAATATAGCCCCCCTCCCGTTCCGACGCCTATGAATTATATGCTTGAATATTTTTATTATCATAAAACATTCTGTCAATCAATTGAAGCATGTTGGATATAAATAACACAATACATAAATAAAAAAAACATATAAAGCTACACAGTAGGATTGTAAATCTTTGTACTAATAAAATATAATGTACATGTATATTTATATAAGCAATGGATATTTAGTTTACAATACAAAATCAAAATGGAATGATCAATCAATACAAGCAACAAAGTTGGATCGCAAATCTGTGTTCGTTAATAAAAATATTCTTTTCTCGTCCGACACTTCCATACAAATTTGAACTATGCAGCTACTCTAAAATAGGTACAAGCAGTATAGGATGCACATTTACATCAAATGAACTCTCCATTCTCATAAAACTATGTAAAACATGCAATTCTTTAATATTCTACACAATATTCAACGAGCCCCTATTCTGTAGCTCCTTCATTACGGTTGATTATTTTTTCTATTTCTTTGACATTTGATTTGATTGTCTCTAAACCTTCTTCAGTTTTATCAATTCTAAAACATTAAACTTTCATGTTAATTAATTGGTTTTGATTAAATGCTATTCATTTGTTAAAAGCACTATTATCTGATTAATGATGAAGCCGTTATCACCAGCGAAGCAACGGTAACATTCCTTGACTACGGGTGATATTCCATAAAAAAATTGCAACTAAACATAATTAATATGCAGAAGTTGCACTGTCATTAAATTTTGTCTGAGGGTTGGACACCGAACTCATGTTTCGTTAAAAATGTTAGAGAGATCTGTCCTTTATTTTGGTAAGCCTTCTTTCCATTTTTTCTCGGTTTAATTGCATAGCTTCCTTTCAATTTCTTTAATTTCTAGTAATGGCTGGACGATAAAGTGCCACGCCACAGCATGATACGCCCGTCAGAAAATTACAATTATCTTTTTTATCCATCCCCTGTGATGTGGGCATTAATTATAACAAATATTAAATGAAAGAAAAAGTGCGCTAGCTCACATACCCCACGCTCTCCCAAAACTTGACGGTGAAACACATAATGAAATACACAGTGTACTTTAAATACATAGTATAGATCAACAAGGGCAATAATTGCAAAAAAATCTTCACATCAAAATGTCTTTCATATGAGGACATTTAAATGTGGAATGAAGTTTCTAGATAAATAATGGTATCAAAATTTCTTGGCATTATACAAATCCAAACATTAATTTATAGTGGTTGGGGGTGGGGGGGGGGGGGAGAAATTTCTTGAATAATAGGCAAACCTCTGGGATAAAATAATGGAATATGTCCTAAATATCTGCATAGGTTGACGAAACTATGTACAACAGTTTAAGAGGAGTGGTGCTGACAAACTGTTCATCTCAATATTCAAAAAATGGCAAAAAAGTCTAAGTTGGAAATTGTGGAAATTCCCGGAAAAATAAAAAAATAAAGGAATCGTAATTTCCTGGTAATATGCACATCTACATATTGTGTCCTAAATATCTGCAAAGTTAAACGAAATTCTGTGCAGTGGTTTATGAGGAGTTGCGTTGACAAACTGTTCATCTCTACATAAAAGGTATGGCCAAAAACCTAAGTATTTAGCACGGAAATTCCCGAAAAAAATAACGGAATCGGAATTTCCTGGAAATATGAACATCTACATATTATGTCCTAAATACCTGCAAAGTTTGATGAAATTCTGTGCAGCGGTTTATGAAGAGTTGCGCTGACAAACTGTTCATCTCTATATTCAAGGTATGGCCAAATGCCTAAGTTAAAAAGTGCAGAAATTCCCGGAAAAAATAATGGAATCGGAATTTCCTGGTAATATACAAATCTACACATTGTGGCCTAAATACCTGCAAAGTTTGACGAAATTCTGTGCAGCGATTTATGAGGAGTTGCGCTGACAAACTGTTCATCTCTATATTCAAGGTATGGCCAAATGCCTAACTAAAAAAGTGCGAAAATTCCCGGAAAAAATAATGGAATCGGAATTTCCTGGTAATATGCACATCTACACATTGTGGCCTAAATATCAGCAAAGTTTGACGAAATTCTGTGCAGCGGTTTATGAAGAGTTGCGCTGACAAACTGTTCATCTCTATATTCAAGGTATGGCCAAATGCCTAAGTTAAAAAGTGCGGCAATTACCAGAAAAAATAATGGCATCGGAATTTCCTGGAAATATGCACATCTCCACATTGTGTACTATGTACCTGCAAAGTTTGACGAAATTCTGTGCAGCTGTTTATGAGGAGTTGCGCTGACAAAAAAGAAGACTGACTGACTGACTGACTGACTGACGGGTCAAAAAACATTATACCTCCCGCAACTAATTATTGATAGATTTCTACACTGGTTGAGTTAGACCTTGTCAAATGCCCATCATATTAAACAATAGATGTAACAATTAGTCTTTACAAATTAACCTGGTATACCGAATTAATTTCGAAAAAAAAAGGCTAGCCATCAAATGACATATGCTATAACCTGACCAAGGGTTGTGTCCGATTCCCATACAACAGATAAGACTGCTCTAAAGAAATGATTGAGACTTTCCTACATTTGAACTCATTAATTAATCTCTGCAGTTATGGGCCAGAAAGGATTTCTCCACATTTGGTTATTATATAACTTTTTAATTAAAGGTCAGAGCGACCTACTTTTTTGTATGCGACACACCTTCTACTCAAAAACTATCAGCTAACAAAGTTTGGTAACTCTAGGCCTAATAGTATTAAAGTTATGAGCCAGACACGAGAAAAGCTAACAGACGGACAGACAGACAGCTAGACGGACGGACACGAAGCCTGTAACATAATGCATACCGTCTTAAGACAGGTGTATAAAAAGCACATAAAATGTAAAGCTTTTTACATATGTTCAATGATTTGAGCACCATGTTCTCTAATTATTGTAATCCTGTAATGGTACGTCAGTCCTTATCCATCATTATCAAACAGTTCCAGATCCAGAATAAATTTAAATATCAATTTTAGAAATGGGAGCTATCCATCTGCGTCATTTAAAATCAGAAGGGAAGGAAATCCTGTTTACTCCAAAAAATATACGTTGGCGAGGGTTTCTGAAGGCTGTCTATAGATGAGATGTTCTATAAACAGAAAAGTTAATCCAAAAGGAATACAAAACATATATTGATAATGATAGGAGGGCTATGAATCAAATATCAATATATGTGTGCATTTTTGAAAACAAACTGCACCTACTACTCCCCCCGAGTCTTTGCTGATTCTTATTTTTTTTTCATAAAAGAAATGATGATGTACATATTTCTTCACAATTGACAAAGGATGGTTTAAATTGTTTAAATTTGAGGTCACATTTAACTTAACCTATGTATATCTGACCGTTCACGGTAGCTCAGTCGGTAGAGCGCTCGCTCCCTGATCGGGAGGTCGTGAGTTCGTATCTCGGCCGCGACTGACCTAGTCGTTAAAATACGTAGCAACTGTTCCTTCGCCATGCGCTCGGCACTTGAAGTGAAAGTTGTGGGTTCTTTGGATGAGACCTTAAAACCGAGGCCCTGTGTCAGAGGCAGGCATTGGCACGATAAAGATCCATCACTCCATCACCCTGAGTGCCGAGTAAAGGTCAAAAGAAGCCCTTCACCGGCATATGGTGATGTCTTTATATAAGTGAAAAATTCTCGATTGGGACGTTAAAAAATATACAATCAATCAATCGTATATCTGACATTAAGTTTTGCATATTTGACATAACTTTTTTCAACATATCATTTTGTTCCTTGCTGACTGTTTCAAAAATAGCTGAAATAGCATCTTCATCTTTAAAATTAGTTTATATATGCTACATGTATTAGGTATCAAAGTCTTTTTTTCCCAGTGAAATTTTCCAATCCAGATATCCGGCACTGTCGACAATGCAATGAAAGGTGAAGGCTGAGCTCACGTGTAGAGTCAATTTATTTCGTATTGACATAATTCTCTCGATATCGTCGCCCACTGTCACCTCTCCTGCTGCAGGCTCTTCTCCCCACCATCCTTTTGATGACTAAAGGATCTTTGAACAAATGTTTCTTAACAATTTGTATATAAATGAAATATCGAATTCCTCATATCCAGTTTATGTTTAAAATAAGACTTATTCAGAGGCTTTTCACCAATGAAACTTTCGACTGCATTGCAGATCTTCGACATCTTCAACCAAGTGTGACAGAATTCATTATTAACTAGTCCAGCTAACGTTCTGTGAATAAAAATTATCATTTTTGAGCGGTTGCTTCTAGTCTTCAATTTCGTTTAAATGTCATCATTTGAGACTTTAATTCTTGAACATCTGACACGACTGTCTTCAACAGTTCATGTTGCTCGTGTTGATCCTTGACAAACTTTTCTATGATAGCTTTTATTGCATCTTCCCCTTTCTTTTTTAGAGCCACTTTCTGAATGCCTTTAAGACTATCCAAGTACTTTTTTTCCAGTGAAGGTTTCCGGTCGTTGGCAGTTATCCGATATTGTTGACCAGGTGTCACCGTATTCTGTCTGAGAGATGGAGGCTGAACTCACATGTGCAGTCAATCTATTTTGCATTGACCAGATTCTCTCAATATCATCACCCACAGTCACCTCTACAACTGCTGCATGCTCTTCTCCCCACCTTCCTTTTGTTAGTTAAGGGATCTTTGAACAGATATTTCTTAACAACTTGTATGTAAATGAAATATCAAATGCCTTATATCCAGTTTATGATTATAATTAAGCTTATCCATAGGCTTTTAACCAATGAAACCTGCACGTACATTGCAGATTTCTGACATCTTCAACCAAGTGTTACAGAATCCATTATTCACTATCCCAGCGAACTTTCTACGAGTAAAAAATTATTATTTCTAAATTGCTGCCTTTAGTCTTCAATTTCGTTTTAATGTCATCATTTGAGACTTTATTTCTTGAACATCTGACACGACTGACTTCAACAGTTCATGTTGTTCGTGTTGATCCTTGACAAACTTTTCTATGATAGCTTTTATTGCATCTTCCCCTTCCTCTTTCAGAGCCAGTTTCTGAATGCCTTTAAGACTATCCAAGTACTTTTTACCAGTGAACGTTTCCAGTCTTTTGCAGATATCTGACATCATCGACCAGGTGTCATCAAATTCTGTCTGAGAGATAGAGGCTGAACTCACATGTGCAGTCAAACTGTTTCGTATTGATCTAATTCTCTCGATATCATCACCCACTCTCACCTCTCCTGCTGCAGGCTCTTCTCCCCATTTTCCTTTTGTTGGTTTAGGAATCTTTGAACAAATGTTTCTTATCAATTTGTATGTTAATGAAATATCAAATTCCTCATATCCTGATATTTTTGCTTTTTTCAATTGATCTTCTTGATTTGCGTGTAGATTCAGACTCTTCAACTTTTTGTTTGATAATAAATCCACCTTGTTCTCAATATCAGATGCAGGAATCTCTGATTCTAGAATATCTCTGTATGCTTTATTCAACACATCATTTGTAGCCATACCAAGTTTTGCAAATCTAGACCGGCCTTCTAGGTTTTGTCCAGAGGCCTTTGGAGTACTGGAATCACTCGACTCTCTCTGAAACAAAATAAACCATAGCTATTATAATGAACCAATCTTAACCTCGAAACTAAGTGCTGGAAATAGCCAACTTTGTCTGAAGCAAAATCAATCTTAGTTCATCTAATGGAGCCAACTTAGGAAAAAACATTATAAACCAAGATTAAAATTTATAAGATGATTCCCCATATATTAAGCAAAGCTAAACCCTAATGCAAGTACAGTTTGTTTTCCAAGGTGATTACAACAAAGGGCCCTGTTGTAGGTCAAGAAAGGAAAATTAGGATAAAAACAATTTTAATTTACCATTAGATATCATTGAGTTGGTGACATCACATCAATTTGGAAAATTAGGAATAAAGTGAAATGAAAGATTTATCTAGAGAGAAACATAATGTACTCATCAGAGCTTCTAAAGCCCTGGTACCCCAACCACGAGACAATGGATAGTTAATTGCACAATTTTGGTAAAAGATTAAAAATCCATTAACCTCTTGCAAAACAGTTCATCTACTCTGCACTGGTCTGAAAGAAACTTGCAATTGGTGCTTTGATCAAGGTCATGACACATTTTGAGATTATAAGCAATATTAGTTTGAAGTATACAGATATACCTAACTACATTTCTTCATTTCATTTCGAGTTTCCAATTATTTTTTCTAGTTAACATCATATAACCTTAAATAAGTTCAAATCATGACACATTCTTGGGTCGTAAGAAATCGTTGAGTCAAATAATGGTCCATTTTACAAGATATGGTAACACTGATTTTATTTTTAAAAAAATATTTCTGAAAGTGATCTTGAACTTGACCAATTGGCCTTGCATTCATATCAAGACATTCCTGATAGAATTCTCTGTGTAAAATATAAACTTCAAATGTCTCTCTCTTTAATATTTTTTTCATTCATTGATCTTTTATATGGTCAAAATCAGTACAATTCCCCAGCTGGTAAAAAATATATGTGCCATGGTTTTTTTTCCAACAAAGTTATTGGCTGGACTTAAATATACATATATGCCAACAGACAGGCAGACAATTTAAGTCCTAAAAATAGATTTTTCGATTTTTGTTGTACAGGGAGTATAAAGATTAATAACTGTTACCTTTTCCCAGAATCCCTGTGTCCTCTGTACATTTATCACATGTTTCTCCCGAAGTTCACACTTGCACTGCGTTTCTTCTGCCTTGATCTTGGAGAGCTCACTTGAAAGGGTAAAAGATAGATCTTTCTCATTACAAATAATGTTTTGACATTTGTATCCTCTATGGAATATTTTTGTGTCAATAAATGTTTCTGTCAATTTTTTTATTGCTTTATCAATGGAGACTCCAATTTCATTTGATACACCTTTCTCTACAGTCAATGGTTTGATTCTCAGCACCTGCAACTGAATATCATCATTGCATATGCCAACAACAACAGTATGTTCATTGTGATCAAACACTGCCCCTGTTTGATAAAGACATGGACTTCCTTCATTATATTCATCTTTTGCTACACTCCATCTTAGAGAACTTATGCAGTATGCTACCAGTCTGTAGAACACAAACATGGCAAAGGAACTGAATCGATAGCACAAAATGGATGAGCATTCCCACTTATCTTCACAGAAGTCAGCTTTAAACTGCTTTTTGTTCATACATGGGACGTACCATGACATGCCACCTTCTGATACAGCCTCATATGCATTCAAAGGTACCAGCATTTGAAGTTTCTCCATGTATGGCATAATTTCACTTTTATGTTTCAAGTAAGAGGGTTCATCTTTCCACAGTGCATTTATCACTTTATCTTTAAGTTCCCCCGTTTTGTTGAAGGATTTCCACTCTTTAATTAATTTCCTTTTACAATCTTTATTGATGTGATTTTCATCAGCAATTATCTTGCTGAAAGCATTAGCAAACCACTGAATATCTAGTATAACATGTTCCCTCAAGTCCGCTTCTCCAAAATTCAAAAGAAGACCATTGTCATGGAAACATTTTAAAAATTCGGACATTTCCTTGTCTTTTTTGATTTGGTATTCATCGGGAAGAGATGTGTTGAGCTTCCAGATTTCACTCAGGGACAAAACCTTCCAGCCTCCTTCATACAATAACTGCTCCATTAGAGCCCATGAAGAAGGCAATTCAACTTTTGTATTGTTCTTGTCTGCGAATAGTTCCACTATGGATTTTTTCATTGACTCCAGTATTTCCTTGGTATTATCATTAAGTTCCTTTAGACCTACTGCATATTCTCGATCATTCAGAGACCCACTTAACCAATCTTTATCGTCATCGGGTACGGCATTCCAAAACTCCCCCAAATACTTCTCTATTTCCTGAAGAAGTAAACAAAGCAAGCATACTAGACATATTAATTCATAATTGTGAGCTATGATTTTATCACTGTAAATGCTGAATTGTGTGTTGATGTTTGAAAATCTGAAAATCATGTACATTTATTTTGGATTTAAACTGGCAGTTTTAACTGATTACAGATAAAACTGTAAATAAGGTATCCATTATAGATTATCAATACCACATTGGATGTAATACATAACTGTGTGATACGATTTACTGTAAATGAAATGTTGGTTCTTTTGTAGTTCTGAAGTATACACTGTTATTGTGCATTCTACAGATATGTTAATATCAGTTATTCTTCTTTTTTCACATTTCTAATAGACAGAATACTAACATCTGTAGACTTTGTTTCTGTGTGTGTGACAACAAGAAACAGTGGTGCCGCTTTGCCTCCAAATGTCTTGATTGAGGTAATCCAAAACTTCAGGTAGTCTAAAAGAACAACAAAGCATCATGATAAAAAACAAACAAGTCAGTGTCTCTGGAAAGTGTTTAGCTTTACTGTTTTGTATTTAAAACATCTAAAAATAAAAGAACTTCAATCTATAATTTTGTTTTTGGGTTTATAATAACCCAGAAGAATTATGAAAATTCATATTTTGTTAGCATATTAAAAGTTATTCAAAAATAAAATATGAACTGTAGAACGTGCAGTAAATAATTTTTGAAGACAATTTCACACATCTTTTTCCTTCAGTGTGACATCTGATTTGTAGAAAAAAAGAAATGTATAACGATGTGTTGTACTTGTTCAGGCAAGCAGCATATGCAAAGAAAACCATTTCAATAGCAATACCCTCTGAAAACATATTCATAATTCCTGACAACTGAGCCACAATTTATTGGTCACATCGGATTATGGTGTGGTGTACTTGTGAAGGCAAGCAGCATAAGGAAAGAAGTCAATCTGACTGGCAACAGATTTATCATTCCTGGCTACCAACCGACAATGTATGAGTCACATCCACAGAAATGAACTGATATCCACTACAACTGACTACAGTAAAACTCGTTTAGTACGAACACGGATATAGCGAATTCACGGATATAACGAAGTTTTTCTGGGTACCCGGCAGATTTCTTAACAAATCCTTGTAAAATTTTACGGTTATAACGAACTCAGATATAACGAATTTACGGATATAACGAACTGATTTTGAGTCCCGTTGAGGTTAAATATAATGAAATTCACATCCTTTATAACGAACTCTTAAAGATTATAAAAAAAATTGATAAATTTAACAGACTCTATTTCTGTTTAGCATTTATATATAAAATCCAATACATAATATGACCTTAGTTATCAAAGATATGTTTTAAATATTTGCTTTTCTAACATATGTGGTAGTAAAACTTGAAGGAAAACATGCATATTGCGAATTCACTATAATGGTTAAATGAATTCCTTATACGGATATAACAAATTACAGATATAGCGAATTAAATTCACAGGTCCCCAGGACTTCGCTATAACCGAGTTTTACTGTACCCAATGGAATCATCATTATCTCCGACCAAATAACCCCATCTAATTATTGAACCCCATTAGCCTTAAACTGAAAGACAATTATAGCATTAGTTATTTTTGAAAATGAACCAAACAAGATGTTTGTTAAGCACTTATGCCCCCCTCCTCTACAAATTGGAGTCTAACAGGGCATAACTCAAGAATGGTGCGATCGTACCCAAACAAAACTTGAACTAGATACTCATCTGACTAATCTGTATACGAAATTCCACTTAAATGTATGCAACCTCTTCAAAGAAAATGAACAGAAACTGCAAATAATTTGTTTCTTGATAAGTCCAAGGGGCATACCTCTGTCAAAAATGGTGCAATCATACCCAAAACAGAACGTGACATAGACATTTAATATATATTTGTATACCAAATTTCATTTCAGTATGTGCAACGGTTGTGAAGAAAATGAACGGAAACTAAATGGACCGACAGACAGCTGCAAAGCAATACCGGGTATGCCTTCCCTTCTTCGAAGGGAGGCATAAAAATATACATTTTCCTAACATTCTTCTTTTTTCCAAGATATATATTTTTGTGTGCGTCTCATTATGTGAATACATTTCAATCAAGGGTTTTTTTTTCTTGTAGAATTATTTTAACAAAAAGGAGGCTGTGGCGCTACTGGTTGTACTTTTCACATAAGATAAAAGTAGCACTTGGATTTGCAACAGCAATAAATAGAATAATAATTCTTAGTTTAGTCTCTTGTTGTGGAAAGATTAATTGCAATCAGACTAAAACTGTAGGAGCAGAAGCCTTATAAAATAATTTTACAGAAATTTTGATTTGAGTAACCATGGCAACATCATTTAACAAAATCAACCAGAAGTCTCTGATGAGACTGTAGCTCTACTGGTATGTACATATAACAAAGGAAAAGTAGCACTTGAATTTGAAACTTTCCAACAGGCAGAAATAAACATGATATAATTATGTATCTGAGTGTAATCCACTTGTTTGCCAAGTTATATATATTGAAATCAGACCAAAGCTGTAGGAGGAGCAGAGTTTTTAAAAATTGTTTACAGGCAGGCAGATGTACAACAGACACCTTACTATCGAATAAGCTCTTTCGAACTCCGAAAAGTAAAGTTGAACATGTTTTTTAAAAAATATTTCAATCTATTAAACAAAGATGTAATTGGGTGTTTATTGTCCGTGAACAAAATTATAAGTAGTTGCCTAGACAAGTGTTTTACCTTTGTATGTCCACACAGAGAAGATTGATCCTTCTTGGTTATCTTTCTTTTTATCAACAACATCTTCAAACCTCTTAGTCATGTCCAACACAAGGATGAAGAAGGCCTTTGGTGTTACGTAAATTTGGTGACAGGCATAATACGCTAACTGACCAGCAAAATCCAGCATGCTAGCAGTTGGGAATTTTTCTTTATCAGACAAGATTTTCTGAAAAATTTCATCCTTCACCATAGCTGGAGCTTCTGAGGAAAGAGCACTGGCTATTACCTCTACTGAGTTCTCCTCTTTTTGGCTCTTAGTTGGTGGGCTAGACAACTCTACATTCTCTTCTTTCTTTTCCTCTGTGCTATGAATAACTTCAGTGTCTTTATCAGTATTTTTCATTTCCAGGTTGTCCCCTTGTTGATTTGTATTGGAGCTGTCAACTGCACTGCTTGGGTCTGGTTTTAAATCTGCAGTGTTTATCCTGATAAATGACTTCAAAGGGGCATAACTCTGACAAAAATGGTTTGATCATAACCAGAAACTGACCTAGATACCCATGTGATATATTTTATAGAATTTTATCTCAGTATGTGCAACGGTTTTGAAGATAATGAACGGAAACTGCAAATAATTGGAATTTTTCTAAGTCCAAAGGGCATAACTCTGTCCAATATGGTGCGATCATACCAAAAAAAAGAACTTGATCTAGATATATCTGTATACCAAA